TTTCTGTCAGGCACTCTGTGTCCTCCAGTTGAAGTCAGGAGTCTTTGGACACAGTTCAGAAAATAGCTAGTGTCTGGTAGGGAGCTTGGTGCAAGGCAGTTTGGCAGAGGGAGGCATGGAGAACCTCAGGGTAGCCGGATAGCAAAGAAGAACCTGGCAAGTGAATGACATAGTTCCTTTGGACTTTTTTTAGGTGCTTGGGGTGTCTTTTGGCTGTAGGTATTTTATGGAGGAAAGCAGCAGAAGTGACAGAACAGGATTTCTAAGCCACCAATAATCTGTGCACATGGGTGTTTGGACTGAGAAGTCAGAGCCGGACTTGCACCTGTGCCTACCATCAGGAAGTAAATGGTTCAGGGGTCATCCTAAGGGCTCATTTGGGAGGCAAACTGAAACCCTAATTTGAACAAAGTGATTTAGAAGATGTTCAATATAGTTTTTCTCCTGGGAACATTTCCTCCTGAGGTATTAATCAGGGCACCAGGCAGAGTGCTCATGAATATTGTTCCAGAGCTGAAGTGTGACTCATAAACAAAAACCATGGAAACCCACTTAGTTTCTGAAACGTTGCCTCTCTCTGAAAGGAAAAACGGAGGATAAATGTGCAGACAGACTTTACTTAAAGGTTATGTGTGAGTCAGGGAACCTATGAGTGTTTTTAATATGATAAAGAGTCATATAAATCTATAAAATGATGCATATACGAGTGAAGTCATAGCATGGATTGGAAATTAAAAATTCTGTGCATGCCTGATAAATTGCTTCAGTTATGTCTGACTCTTTGCAACCTTACAGACTGTAGCCTGCCAGGCTCCTTGTCCATGGGATTCTCCAGGCATTAATACTGGAGTGGGTTGCTGTGTCCTTCTCCAGGGGACATTCCTGACCCAGGGATCGAACCTGTGTCTCATTAGGTTTTCTGCATTGGCAGGCGGGTTCTTTACTACTGCTAGCATCACCTGAGAAGCCCAAAAATACTATAGAGAATAGCTTTTACAGGATTTAACTTTTGGAAAATTTCGCTGTGGATCCTGAATACAATTTGTTTTTGTGATTAGGACTCTTAGTTTGATTTTATATTCTGGCTCTTAAATTTTTAGCTGTATGACATAGGGCAAGCTAGCCTCTATAAAGCTCACCTGTTAAATGTTATCTGTCTCATTAGGTGGTTGTGAGAATTCAAGAAATAATATAAATGAAGTGCACAGTACAGTGCCTAGTCTACAACAAATGTTCTGTAAAAATTATCTGATATTATTAACATTTTAGTCTTCAAACCATAAAGAAAACCAATCAATTATTTTCCAAATGGAAAGAATCGTAGTTGGGGGATAACCTCAGACTACTCAAAAGAAAAAGATTCTTTGTATTAGCATAAAGAAAGGTGTGGGTTGCCATTTCCTTCTCCAGGGGATCTTCCTGACCCAGGGATTGAACCCAAGTCTCCTGCATTGCCCTGAACCACCAGTGAAGTGCAAAGAAATACGTCTTGGCCGTAAGATGAAAATCTCCAAAGCTCCAGGCACTGTCCTTATTTAAATTATTTTTGATTCCTATTGAGAAATAGTATCTAATGTTTTTTGCACACCTACCATGTATCAGGCACTCTTGAAGTTGCTTCACTCATCCCAGCCCTGTGAAGTGGATTATGATGGTCCGCTATTATAGACAAGGAAACTGAGGCCCAGAGGGATGAAAGAACATGGCCAGGCTTATGAACTATGGTTGGCAGAACAGAGATTTGAATGTCAAAGACCATGCTTTTTTGGTTGATCTCATGAAGCCATGGAAGTAAAAGAAATGCACACTTCATGGGTAGTTTGGCTTTGCTACAGACTCTGAGGTAATAGCAACATTTCTATTTTGATGTTCCTATTAAAATCTTATCCTGTAGCTGAGAGACCTGGCAGATGGCAAATGTTACCCTAAAGCAGGCACCTAAGTTAGTGATAAATCGCATCCAGGGATGGAGATACCTCCTCTGCTTAGGGAAAGAAGATGGTTTTGCCTAGTTCAGCCTCATTGGTTGGTTCAAAATGGTTCAGCCATTCAGAGCTTATAGGAAAATGTACTGTATTTAGCAGTAATAAAAGCTCCTTAAGTACTGTGGGTGGTTGTTTCTGAAAAAGAATGAATTTAAAAACACGCACCTGATTATTTAGCAGCTTTAGAAATATCTGTGAAGAAATTGTTCAGTTACCAGGTAAAGCTGCTTTGGAAGGTGATTTCTATAATGCTGGGCAGTAGCGGAGGCTGCTTAATACCGTCAAAGCACAGATAGGTATTTTTTTTGTCTCTGTATGTTGCCTTAGAACGTTCTGTTCCCTGAAGATTTTAAATAAGATAGACATGCCTTTATGGGTCACAACAATGTAAATTCTTTACTAGATCTTTGCAAATACCTCTTTTTAAGCCTATTCCTTAAACAATGCAGTCTGCTCTTAGGTGTCAGATGTTTCACTGCTTTCCGAGCATTTATACCTACAGCTCCCTATTAATTTTACAGCTGGAGAGCATTGAACCCGATTTGTTCTGAGACCCAAATCTATCCTCTACAGGCTCTGTGATCTTAAAGAAGCCCCTTATCCTCTCTGAGTCTATTTCCTCATCTTTGAAATGGAGGTGTTGATTGTTTCATTCTAGGATTGCTATGGATATTAAATGACTTAATGGAAGTCCAAGTGCTTTATAAATTGTACAAGGTCATTTAAGAACCAACAGTTACTGCTATTATTATTTCTACTTGAGGATTAAAATCATTTGCTGTTAGTAAAGGAGCACTGATGGGTTAATGACATTCTAAAGATCTAAAATAAAGCCTCTGTGAGATGCCAGAAATTGGATAATAAACAGACATTTAATTGGTAATTTAACAAAAACATTAACTGGATGCAGAAGAAGGTCCTGAGTGTTGTAAAGGTTTTTTAGAGAAGGGAGAACCAAGGGACATTACATGCTTCAAAAACTTCCAGTAAGATCACGCCTTTTCAGGTCACAGAGGTTGCTGTGTGCCATTATCTTATAGGCAGCATTGGATGGTTTCTTATTTTGGAACTTCCTAACAGTGTGAGTTTTTAATCTCTCCTTAAAAAGTGAAGATTATAATACCTGCCTTACAGGGTTATGAGAATTAAATGGGATGATATATGCAAAGGGCCCTGTGCATAATATGACTCAGCAAATACATTTTCCTTCTCCTGCCTCTTACTTCTCTCCCTCGTCCTTCTTTTTCTTTTTCTTTCCTTCCTTCCTCCCTCTTCCCCCTTCTCTCCACTTCCTTCTTTCTTTATTTGGTCACATAGGAGCTGTAACTAGGCAAGTCACTACCAAAACTACTAGAAGCTTATATGTTTCTCAGAGCATTCAGGCAAAGCCTGAAAGCAATCAGGAGAGTCCTAGTAAATTCTCTGGGATTACTCAGAAAGCAGCCAAACTTGTTAATGGAGTTTGAGTATATGTAGCCACTTCAATTATCATCAGATGCAGAGAAAGTTGGAGGTGTTCAGTATATGGAAAGACTTCAAAGAAGGGGCTCTGAGGGAAAGCAAGGAGCTATCTGTGCCGGGTGAGGGTTTACAGGGATTAAATTCAGGGTTCCTTCAGAGATAAGGATTGTGTATGGAGGAGTGAGGAAAGCAATCATCAGCGAAACCAGACTTTGTTAGGAAGCTTTTGCTAAGAGATGCTTTACGAATAATCAAGTTTTCCAAACTGTAGAATTCATTTATTGAATTATTTTTTGAAGTATATCCCATCTGCCATTCAGAAGCAGATGTGTCTTTGAACAAACAGCTAAGAGGTTTATAAATATAAACATTTCAGTGACAAGATATAACTTAAAAAGAAATTTTAATTTAAAAAACATCTGAATAAGAATGAACAGTAAATGATTTTAGCTATTAAATACACAAGTGTATGAAATTAAGCTAGTAAAATAAAAATCAGTTGAGAAAAGAAAGTTTTTTCCATGTTGTCAATTTTAGGCCTAATGCAATCTGATTGCACAAAGTGGTATGTTTGGACAAAAAGTGGTTTAGCACAACTACTGGATACTTTTATTTTCTAGATCTTTCCTATGGTCCTCACTAAAGATAACAAATCTGTAGTGAGCAAGGTTTTGAAAGTTACCTATGTTTTAAAGATGTCTAGGCTTTAAATTATTGTCATTATTATACCACAAAAAAATTCCATCTTTTTTTCATGTGTGGTTTAAAAAATGATTTTGACATTTCTCACATCTCTTTCTTCTATCTTATCTATATTTTGTAATAATATTAATAATCCCATCGTATATTTGAGTTCTCCAGTTTTTTTCATGTCCAACACCTCATTTTAAACCATGCCAATTAAAAAACTTTATTTGCTATATCAGAAGTTGCTGATGCTTTACTATTGATAATTGTAAATTATGGGCAGGGAAGGACATTGAGAAGTGAAGTCAACCCCCGTGACCAACCAGGGAAGCAGAAGAGAGAAAACAGTAGTGATGTAGTCCCGTAGTCTCTTCTCTTTCAAAGTAGCATGGCTGTGACTGGGGAGGGCCTGGGAAGAGGTGATAAGGGGGAGCATGCGTGCACACACCCTTATAACCGTCACCTGTCCTAAGGTGAGAGAGAAGGTTGAGGCTGTGAAGAATTGTTTTTTGATCTCCTGCTGAGTTCAAGTAGCTGCTAAGAGTTTAACACATGCATTTTTCATCTGTTCAATAATTCTGAGAGATAGATGTCAATAATACCATTTTGTAGATGACAAAATGGGCTCAGAGAGCTATGAGTAACTCACCCATATGTATTTTAAAAATGAGTTTCATGGTGCTATGTGTTGGGGACATTTACAGCAAAATATATATTGTTGCTTTGTGGTGTGTTTTCATAGTCTTTATCAGAATTCCAAATGGAAGATCTGATTATGCTCCTAAAAAAGAGAATGGCTTTTATACACTCAATCTGGGACAAAGTCAAGATAAAGGTAGTTGTGGAGAATCTCGGAGAGGGCCATACCTGAGGATGCTTTGTTCTAGAACCTGGATCTGGTGCTGGTCTTGTTGATTCTGCCTCTTCATCTCTTCCTGCTCTTTCCCACTGCTGATTCCATCTAGAAGCCATTTCTCCCTCAAAGCCTTTTTCTGATATCAGGAAACATAAAGATATGTTCTTACATCAGTCAAATATTCCAAAATCTCCAAAAGCAAATTCCAAATGCTTTCAAACTTACTATTTTTAATAGTGGAAATATTAAAGAGAATTTTTTTCTCTCACTGCCTTGCCTGAGTAAAGTTGATAGTTTCCTACTTTGCAGCCTTCTTGACCCTCTTCTAAAGCCAGTGTTTATGTATCTAAGTCCTATGTATATTCTAAGGTCTAGCTCAGGTCCTATTTCTTTATGGAGATCTCTTTCCTACCCCTGCATCCCTTTCCCTCTGACAGACCCACTTCACCCTCAGAGAACTCTTTCTTCAGAATCACATAGCAGTGTATATTTACATATGCTGCTGCTGCTGCTGCTGCTAAGTCACTTCAGTCGTGTCTGACTCTGTGCGACCCCATAGACGGCAGCTCACCAGGCTCCCCCGTCCCTGGGATTCTCCAGGCAAGAACACTGGAGTGGGTTGCCATTTCCTTCTCCAATGCATGAAAGTGAAAAGTGAAAGTGAAGTTGCTCAGTCGTGCCCAACTCTTAACGATCCCATGGACTGCAGCCTATCAGGCTCCTCAGTCCATGGGATTTTCCAGGCAAGAGTACTGGAGTGGGTTGCCATTGCCTCCTCCAATATTTACATCTGCTGTATGTTTACTGTGTGTTTAACATTATATAGGAAACTTATCATGGTAGTGCCTTAATATTATTTGTTGGGTTGATGGGTGTATATCTGATGTCAAAGTAACAAGTTCCTTGAAGTCATTTGCTATGTATCCCAGTGACAATACACAGTGACTGCTCAAAAAAAAAACCAAAAAACAAAAAAAACTTTTGTGGAATTGGTGGGCAAAACAAGAGATGGCTTTGTATCTTAAAAGGGCTTCCCTGGTGGCTCAAATGGTAATGCATCTGTCTGCAATGCAGGAGACCTGGGTCCAATCCCAGGGTTGGGAAGATCCCCTGGAGAAGGAAATGGCAACCCACTCCAGTACTCTTGCCTGGAAAATTCCATGGATTGAGGAGCCTGGTAGGCCACAATCCATGAGGTCGCATAGAGTCGGACACGACTGAGTGATTTCACTTTCCTTTCCTTTATTGTCTCTTAAATGAATTCAGTGATAGGCTTAGTCTCTGTGGTTGACATCTATTGTTTTACCTGCCCAGCACCCTTTCTTTCTTCTGAGAACCGCTTTAGGTTCTAGATATCCCTTCACTTCAGCCCCCTACTTGTCCCAACAATATAATCCACAAAATTCATCAATCTCTTTAAATATTGGTGAGTTGAACTCCTGTCAGCTTGAACAAAACAAAAAAGATTTATGTTTCATCAGATGGAAAAAATGTCTCCTTGAATTTGCATGAAAGAATTACATTCCTGGACTTGAACCTCAGAAGACAAAGCAAATGAAGAAGACCTGTACATTTCAGAGAAGTTTTAGCTAGCATCTTGTCCATGTCTCAAGCAAAAACTATTAAATATTATCTTCAAAGAGTTTCAGTTTCTCTTTTTCTCCCTGAAGAAAAGTGCTACACTATATATCGAATCCACTTTAAAATTATTTGCTCAATGATTGTTCCCTGGGAATGTACTGTGTCTAAAATGGTGAGGAAAGAAGAATGAGAATTTTCCTTATTATTTTGAGACTTCTTTCTCTAACACCATGATTAGAATGAAAGCAAGTAAGAAGAATTTTTGTCTTTTTTTTAAAAAAATGCTAGAATTAATACAACTGGATTACAAATATCTCTGAATTTAAAAGAAATTTAAACAAGTTGATTGGGTTAGATAGTTACCAAAGGACATTAAAAAATTACACTGATTACAAATACGTATTATTTGGAATTACAACGTATAGAGTAGATGAAATGTGGTCTGTTCTAGTTGAAACAGTGAGAGGGCCTGGAAGCCTATAGAGGTTATAATAGCCTATAGAGCCTATTATTAAGTCAATAATAACCTCACCCCAGATCATCATATTTGTGTTGGCTTTTTCAAAATTTCAAGCAATTGCATGTGGACAACACACCCTGTAAAAGCAGTTTGTATTATTGCAATTTGTAGCAAGATTGTTTCTCCCAATGTTATCTTTTCCCTTAATTATATTTGTTTAGTTGTTTTTAAAAATATGTTCCCACAGACACAGTAAGTATTATTAATAAAGGTCAAGATTTATCTCCTGATAATATGTCAAGAAAATCTGAGTATATAAGCACTTAAGAATTTACCTTGATTTTACTTTATTTTTATTTGATGAAATATGATGATAGCACAGTAAAGAAGATAGATGACAACCATCAAAGTAAATTACAGTTCTTACAAACCACCTACAAGCATAGTTTCAGTCAATTACATCCACATCACTATAAGAAACACTCAGATGGGATGGTCTTATGATGCCAAGTTACAGAGGGTGGTGAATGGTTCCTGTGACGTAATTAGGTTATCTTGGGCTACATTCATGGTTCTTAGTCTGGTTAGGACTAAGGATAATTTTAATTTTACCCTTAAAAACTTCATTCATAATTCAGGAATTATCATTTAACTCTGGCAGAGAATTTTTTGCATCTAAATAAAACATATGTAATTTGGGTGGGTAATCAGCATGATATGCTACAAATTGTAGTAATCACAATAGTTATTTTGCTTTTATGTCACAATTTAGACTTACACTTCAGTCTGTGAGGCTGATGAATAGAATAAAATCTATTTCACAGCAATGACATTCAGGATCAAAATCTACAGTAACTAAATGAAAATATAAGGGACAAGCATGTAGTAGATTTTTGGCAATTTTTTCCCCAGCACTTCTGTATTCTACACAAGTTACAAGAGACTTTAGGAATAAATTAGTTTTTCATACCGTGATTTAAATAGACTTCCAGATAAGAAAAGTTTTCTAGGTTGAGTATGCTTAGGTTAGTGTGTTTCTAGGTGGCATGAGATTGTGATCTTGACACTAAGAAAGATGATCCACAGTGAACAAGCCTCAGGACTGTTTGAATGTGAGAATGCTGATAATGGCCCTGGAAACTCCTTTCCAAGAATGTCATCGGTATGAATGTCAGGTTCCGGACCTATAGGATATTTGAGTGAGTTCCCAGAACTATTTTGAAGTGTGTATGTGCTGCTGATACAGAAGGAGCACTTTCAAAATATTTACATTTGTGTTTTTTAAAATGGGTTGCTGAAGTCTAATTAAATAATTTGCAACCAGGAAAGTGGTGAGGATGGTCACTGGAATGGAGACAAGTAGATGAAGAAGAATATGAAAAACTGGTAATTGTTGAAGGTAGCAGAGCTTTTTTGACTTGGTGAACATCTTTTAGAATCGATTTTTAAAATACTTCTGCATATTTTTGAATTCTGTTGTGGAATTATGCCTAGTTGCTGTTTGGAATAGCCAACCATTTTCTGCAGAACTTGGAAGAATATGATTACTGGAACAGCTACTCTATGTTCCCTTTGCAGTTATGACTCAAATATAGTGTTCATCACAGTATAAATTATAAATGTCATTATCAGTTCAGGTGTCCATTACCATTTTAAGGGTGCAGATCAAACATATTTTATATTCTTAATGCTCAGCTTAGTGCTTTGCATGTATTAGGTGCTTATTTAATAAATGCTTATTTGTCAGGAAGCATTTAACAAGAGGCTTCCAGTGTGCTGTTTTGGATCTGTCAGGAGCCCTCTGGCCTTTATTGATTCCTGAATATTCAGAAATTAAGAGGAGAGGCACGCCTTACCTGGGGCTGAGGAATCCAGGCATTTCTCATTACAGTGATAAGTACCCTCTTCCTTTTTATGAGCCAAATGGTAAAAGGTGATTGTTTGCAACTCTCTCTTTGATAGGGATCATCTTATGTTTTGTAAGTCTGGAATTTTAATCTTTGTCTTTGCTGAGAATAATCACCTTGTAAGACAGTATATATGCCCATGCCATGTTGATTAAAACACCTTTGCTCCATCAGAGCTTTGCTCCCAGTGTCTTTCTTTCCTTCTATTCCTTCTTTCTGTCTCTCTCTCTCTCCATTTCTGGCTAATTCCTTGGAGCGCGGAGGCCCGCTGAGCTCTTCTTGCCCGGGCTTCTAAGACCCTCTCGAGAAGGCGCACTGCCTCCGCGCACCAGCGCGAGCCCTGAGAACGGGGCTCGATTGGCTTTCGGCAAACAGGGGATATCAGCCTCTTTCTCTTACTCTCCGGCCCACCAGGTTCCGGTCCATTAAAGGACCAACAAGTGCTATCAGCCTGTTTCTCTCTCTTACATTCTTATCCTCGACTCCGGACCACCAGATTCCGGTTCCATTAAAGGACCAACACTTATTGACCAAAAGACTTTCTATTTATCTGTTAAGACTCAGGTTAAATCCCATACCTTTAACAGAACATTTTTTGACCACCCTAGATTAAAAAATTGCTGTTTATACTTATGTCTCAATTAAAAAACCATCATTTAACTTTTCCTAATTATTTATTTAACCTAGAATTTCCCACTAAGTTGCAAGCAGAAGGGCTGAAACTCTCAGGACCACTGCTAGTCTCTAAGGCATTAATATGCAAATTAGGAAATGGTACAGCTCCCCACTCCTACCAGCCTGGTCAGTGCGCAGCTTGGGAAGGTGGACCGCACTTTTGTGCAGAGAGGAAGAAACTGCGTCCAGACAGAAGCAACCCTATGCTAGGGTGCACAGTTCCAAGGAAGCATGGGCAGGATTTCAGCAACCCCCTCTCTCAGGCGTCTTTACACAGTATACAATCTGCGCAGCTGTGTACTGCAGTCCAAAGCATAAAACATGCTTTGATGACTGAATTGTATTAGAGGAGATCTGGGTTCCAGAAGGCGAACCTATAGGGAAGATTATAGATTACTTTTCAGACTTTTTTTTTTTTTTTTGGTTAAGTATTGAAGCATCAGCTCAGAAATGAACCTCTCAGTGTGTTAGAGTTCTCCTGTATGAAATTTACTTCCCCAAATGAACAGAGGAGATATATTAACCTTTTCTCCTATTGTGAACTCTACTGATGCTTGGCTACCCATTCTGCAAGGATAGAAATTACTCAGAAACAGTAATTAGTTCACTGTGAGATCCAAAATGTGTGTGTGTGTGTGTGTGAGAGAGAGAGAGAGAGAGAAAGAAAGAGGGAGAGAGAGAGGAAAAAAGATTTTGCAGTTAGAAATTGCCTATCTCAAAAATTGTTGTATATATATTTTCAACTTCATTTGACTTGTACCAAGATAACTTGGTAAAATCTGTTATTTCATTGATTTTTCTGGGAGTACACATTGCATTTCTTGACTAGACATACTGTAAGGATAGCAGGCTGACTATACTTTGAAATTATTCATCAAACATTGGAAATGTCAATTTGTATAAGAGTGAAGAAGCAAACAGAATCCAGAGAAATGAAGCTAACTGGAATCTTAAATTGTATCTCTTCTCTCAAGAGGTGATTACTTGATCCATCAGAAAGACGGATTTAGCAGAATTCAATAAGTTTAGCAAAAGACTGTAGACCCCACGAGTATGGGGCACTGTTTCACTGGCGAATTTATTATGTCCACTGATAGAAGCCCTGCCAGATAAATAGTTTCCTGCTTAGGCCTGTTCACAGGGAGCTCCTGTTTGTCATTGGGTTGCATCCTGTGACTAAGCTACATAATAAAATGTTGAGACTCAATGTGCTTTTATTACAAAATGACCACACCCATGAAAGATGTAAGGTCTGATTTTAAAAATGGAGGTTTATTTTTGGTTATGATCTCATGTTTTGTCAAAACAAAATAAAACAGTACCTTGAACCACACTCAGACAACACCGAATCCACTGCACTGAACTCTTTTTTTTTTTTAGAAGAGAAACTTTCATTACTGAAGCTAATAATTATATCTATTACTTTTTTTTAAATGTTATTAGAGAAGGTTTATTTTTTAAACTTAATTTCTTTTACTGTCTGCACTGAACTTTTCAATGCGAACATCCTTGAGCAGGCCCAACAGTTATGCTTTACACCCCCTGGGTAAAGGCTGGCCTTTCATTGATTGCAAAAGAAACTTCCCAGCTGGATCCACTCCCAAGGGATAATAAGCAAGACTGTACTTAGGGCAAAAGTGTTAATACTGAATTCTCAAGGTTACCAAGAAAATGAGGAAATGCAGTAATAAAGGATAAAATGTTTTCAATTTTACACGTTTGCCAGAAGGTGTTAGTCTTATATGCAAATAATACTAGCTTGTTGTCTTCCCCTATGGTTCTTAAGGTGTTAATATAAGTCTGTTGGGATTTTTTTCCTTCCTTAAAGCATCTGTACTACTGAAATTTGAGTGCAATTAGAATATTTGAATCAGAATCACTGAAATGAAGTTAAAGTCATAAGTTACCTTCAAATGCTGGTGCTTTAGTTTTTCTTCCTCTATTTTCAGACGCTTCTGTGAGATTTCTTCCTGTATTTTTCTTTTATCCTGAAATAAAAAATATTCCAGCATGATCAGTTTTTTTAATTTGCTTAAGTATGTTTCCTGGGGATGTTGTCATTATTGAATGGCTGGCCAGTGGTATGCTCTTGGCATTGGTATGAAGCTGCTTTGGAAACCCTTATTTCAAAGCAAAAGAGAGTGACCTGGGACATGCAAAGCATCTTACTGATGGAAAATGATATAAAGAGCTTTTTCAAAGAGAATTTAAAAATATTTTAATGACTTTCCTTCCCCCCCCTTATCTTTTCTATCTTCCCCATTAAGTCTAGCAAGATTGAGCTACTGAATGATGCAATGGAAACTGTGAATTTTAAGGTGGGAGTTTTGAAATAGGCGTGAGGACATATTGTGAGGAGAGACATTGTTCTGGGCACAAGACTGAAGAAGCTGCTGGGTAAAAGGCCTGCTTATGTGTGAAAACAGGATAGCTTCCAGAGCATTAGAACAACAGGGAGCTAGAAAAAGTGACCGTTTCCTCCTGTAAACCTTGCTATGGAAGAGAGAGAGAAAAGGATCAGATAATGCATATTAACACTAAGAGGACTTCTAGCAGAGGTTAAAAAAATTCACTGAGAGATATAGTATCTTTCATCACGTTTATTATTATTATTTTTAATTTTTATTGGATATAATTGATTTACAATGTTGTGTTGGTTTCATGCGTACAGCAGAGTGAATCTGTTATGTATATATACACCCACTCTTTTGTTTTTTAGATTCTTTTCCTATGCAGCTCATTACAGAGTATTCAATAGAGTTTCCTGTGCTACCCAGGGGTCCTGATTAGTTATCTATTTTATATATGTTTGTGTGTATGTGTCAATCCCAATCCCAGAGTAGAGTTTGTCCCTACTCCCTTACACCTGGTAACCGTAAGATTATTTTCTACATCTGTACCTCCATTTGTGTTTTGTAGATAAGTTCATCTGTAGGCTTATTTTAGACTCCACATACAAGCAATATCATATTTTTATTTCTCTATCTGTCTTACTTCACTCATTATAACAATTTCGAGGTCCATCCAGGTTGCAGCAAATGGCATTATAATGTTCTTTTTACTAGCTGAGTAATGTTCCATTGTATGTATGTACCACATCTTCTTTATCCATTTCTCTGTTGATGGACATTTAGGTTGCTTCTACATCCTTGCTATTGTAAACAGTGCTTCGATGAACACTGGGGTGCATGTATCTTTTTAAATTATGATTTTTTGCGGATACATGCCCACGAGTGATGTTGTTGGGTCATATGGTAGCTCTATTTTTAATTTTTTAAGGAACCTCCATACAGTTTTTATGAATGGTGGCTATACTGGTTTAAAACATACCCTAACATCATTCACAAAATAAACTCAAAATGGATTGAAGACCTAAAGGTAAGACCATAAAAACTCTTAGAGGAAAGCACAGGTAGAACTCTGACATAAACCGCAGCATAATCTTTTTTGCTCCACTTCCTAAAGTAATACAAATAAAAACAAATAAATGGGACCTAATTAAACTTAAAAGCTTTTTGCCCAGCCAAGGAAATAATAAAACAAATGGACAACCCTGAGAATGGGAGAAACTATTTCCAAACAAAGCAACCAACAAAGAATTAATCTCCAAAATATACAAATCAGCTCATGCAGTTTAATATCAAAAAAACCATTCAACCTAACCAAAAAATGGGCAGATCTAAATAAATATTTCTCTAAAGAAGTCACACAGATGGTTAAAAATCACATGAAAAGATGCTCAACACCTCTAATTATTAGAGAAATGCAAATCACAAGTTTAAACTACAATACCTTAAAATCCCAGAGAGCATAACTGTTGATACACAGAAGTTGTACTTTTTAAAGGCTTTAGCCTGCATACTAAGTAGAAAGCCTGGGTTCAGTTTCTGGCTCTGCCATCTACTAGCTATGCATCCTGGGACAAAGTCCTTCATGTAGTGCCCCGTAAAACAGAGGTACTGAGTGTACCTATGTCATAAGATATGAGCTTAATGGAGCGAATATATGCAAAAGCTCTGAGAACCATGCTTGACACATAGTGTTCCATAAGTATTTGCTTAATAAAATTGAGTAAATAAACGCATAACCTATTAATCACACAGAAAGCAACACATTAACTCTGATGATGGTTCCACTGGTTTGAAATGCTTTAGAACTTGCCTGTCTGGAATTGTTTGAGACATTTTACAAGCCATGCAAAAAGGCCCTGGTTTCCTTATTTTTTGACCAGAGGTGACATTACCCTCCATCTTACTTATAAAAATTGGTGCTAAATCTGCTTTCAAAATGGAAAACTCCCAAAGGTAAACATTTGTTGCCAATAAAGACCTCTAAAGGAATTTGAAGCAGGCTGAGAAGGTAATTTAGAAGGAAGAGCTCCAAAAATATTTGGCAGCAATGTGGAAACAAGTGCATGGCTTCCTGGTGTAACTCATTTGAAGATAAAAACTCCTTTTTGATGCATAAATTCAGGTACATTTGTTGAATGTAACAGAACTCATTTGAATGTACATTGCTGTCCAAATATATATCATGTTTCTGTTTGTGTGTAAGAAGCATATATGACCTTATCAGTATTTTTTTTTTAAATTTTATGAACAATTCTTTAGAAGGAAAAAAAAAGAGCTTGGCAACAAGCCTGGGTTTTCAGATTCACTTGTTTATTTGGATGAAATCTGGTTGTTTGGGAGTAAAAACTATGAAGATGTCTTTGAGTCAATTCTTCACTATATCTTGAAACTGTTATTGAGCAAATATTAGTAATATTTTAAACTTATTGTGCCAAACATTTGGGTAAGTACTTTTCAGACACTATTTCACTTAATAGCCATCATAACAGAGATATAATAATATTACACTTAATAGTTATGATAACAAAGACATAGTATAATAACTTTCATTTTATAGAAGAGGAAATGGAAGTTTCCAGAGATTAATTAACCAATCCAAGTTCTCACAGCTGGTGCCTTGTGGCTTAGTGGTAAAGAATCTGCCTGCCATTGCAGGAGATGCATCTTCAATCCCTGGGTGGGGAAGATCCCCTGGAGAAGGAAATGGCAACCTACTACAGTATTTTTGCTAGGAAATCCCTTCCACAGAGGAACCTGCCAGGCTACAGTTCTTGCCATCACAAAGAGCTGGACATGACTTAATGACTAAAAACACCACAGTGGCAGAGCCAGGATGTGAACCCAGGCAATAAGAGTTCAGCCTCTTAGCTGACTCACTACATTATTTCCCTGAGTGGGGAATTAGTCAGCTTCTCACCACGTGCCCAGTTGTCCTGTCTATTGTGAACCACTGGGGTGTGTTGGCAGTTCCGGGACAGGCAGTACTGGAGGGGCTTCTCATTAGAAAGGCATACACACACTTTCAGTCCCCTGCGTGCTGGTGTGGAGCCGCCCACCTCTCTCCACGGACGGCCCATAGAGAAGAGCACACTCTGTACGTGTGCCCATGACTGCTGAACCCAGCAACGCTTGCCCGCCCCTGCTGCTAGCCAGTCTGTGCTGGTCGTTTCATCCTGGTGAGTAATGACATAATGAAAGCTGTGTGCAGAGGCAGGGCATCTGAAGTGCTTGGGCAACAGGATGCTTACAGAAGGGTTGCTAAGGAATCCCAAAGTTTTGTCACTCAGAGGTAATGTGATGCCTTTCTCATGTCAGTGTAGGTAGTTAAGAAGGTAATTTTCTAATGTTATAGGCATGACTCTCTTTTAAGACATGAGTACATTTTCCCCATAAGATATTCATCAACTGCAAATTATTGTCCTTTTGCCAAATTTCATGAAGATCTATAAACGTTACTGAAAACTAATATGGCAACAGTTTAGTTTCATTATGGCAGGGTAAACTATAATACCAGACCACCTGACCTGCCTCTTGAGAAACCTGTATGCAGGTCAGGAAGCAGCAGTTAGAACTGGACATTGAACAACACATTGGTTCCAAATAGGAAAAGGAGTACATCAGGGCTGTATATTGTCACCCTGCTAATTTAACCTATATGCGGAGTATATCATGAGAAATGCTGGTCTGGATGAAACACAAGCTGGAAACAAGATTGCTGGGAGAAATATCAATAACCTCAGATATGTGGATGACACCACCTTTATGGCAGAAAGTGAAGAAGAACTAAAGAGCCTCTCGATGAAAGTGAAAGAGGAGAGTAAAAAAGTTGGCTTAAAACTCAATATTCAGAAAACTAAGATCATGGCATCTGGTCCCATCACTTTATGGCAAATAGATGGGGAAACTGGAAACAGTGTCAGACTTTATTTTTGGGGGCTCCAAAGTCACTGCAGATGGTGATTGCAGCCATGAAATTAAAAAACTCTTACTCCTTGGAAGGAAAGCTATGACCAATCTAGACAGCATATTAAAAAGCAGAGACATTACTTTGTCAACAAAGGTCCGTCTAGTCAAGGCTATGGTTTTTCCAGTGGTTATGTATGGACGTGAGAGTTGGACTATAAAGAAAGCTGAGTGCCGAAGAATTGATGCTTTTGAACTGTGGTGTTGGAGAAGACTCTTGAGAGTCCCTTGGACTGCAAGGAGATCCAACCAGTGCATCCTAAAGGAGATCGGTCCTGCGTGTTCATTGGAAGGACTGATGTTGAAGCTGAAAATCAACCCACCTGATGCCCACCTGATGCGAAGAACTGACTCATTTGAAAAGACCCTGATGCTGGGAAAGATTGAAGGTGGAGGAGAAGGGGACAACAGAGGATGAGATGGTTGGATGGTGTCACCAACTCAGTGGACATGAATTTGCGTAAACTCTGGGTTGGTTATGGACAGGGAGGCCTGGAGTGCTGTGGTTCATGGGGTTGCAAAGAGTCAGCCATGACTGAGTGACTGAACTGAACTGAACTGAAACTATAAGTTAAGCTTAAAATGTCATGTAGTTTTACTGTTAGTATATCAAAAGTTATTACAGTCAGCTAATTGCTTCCCAGATTATCATGGAACAAATATGAATAGATGTG